CAGCAATCGATGAAAATCCCTCCACAAAACGATGGTAGTAACCCGCCAGGCCAAGAAAACTGCGAATCTCTGTAGCTGAGGACGGCCTGATCCAACTCTGCACGGCCTCTACCTTCCTCGGATCCACCCGAATACCCTCGCTAGAAATTACATGGCCTAAGAATGCCACAGAACTCAGCCAAAACTCACATTTTGAGAACTTTGCATATAACTTTTTCTCCCTCAAGGTCTGTAGCACGGTCCTCAGATGCTGCTCATGATCTTCCCGACTCCGGGAATACACCAGAATATCATCAATAAAAACAATCACGAACGAGTCAAGATATGGCCTGAACACACTGTGCATCAAATGCATGAAAGCTGCAGGGGCATTGGTCAGCCCAAATGACATAACAAGGAACTCGTAATGGCCATATCGAGTCCTGAAGGCAGTCTTCGGGATATTTGGCTCCCGAATCTTCAACTGATGGTAACCTGAGCGCAAGTCAATCTTAGAAAACCCCCGTGCGCCCTGAAGCTGGTCAAACAGATCATCAATGCGAGGCAAGGGATAACGGTTCTTCACTGTAACCTTGTTCAACTGGCGGTAGTCAATACACATGCGCATAGAATCATCCTTTTTCTTCACAAACAAAACAGGAGCACCCCACGGTGAATCATTACCCAGTGATTTATAGGTTTTAGTCATAGGAGAGTAGAGAATCATTACCCAGTGATTGCCCTTGAAAAACTCTTGAAATTGCTCCCAAATCCGAGCTCCAAACCTTGAGTTTTGATAAAAATGGCAAAACCTCTTTTTTGAAATGTTAAGTACTGTTCAGGGGTCTAAAGCATCGCGAACGCGAAAGGCAGCACGCGTTCGCGAAGAAGGAAAATATAAAGGGACCAAAAATGCCCTTCGCAATCACGAAGGAATGGATGCAAACGCGAAGGCCTGGGTTCAGTGAGCTACGCGAACGCGACATAGGTCATGCGAACGCATTAAATGAAAATCAAGCCTAGCCCTTGGAGTCCAATAAGTCTATGCGAACGCGACAGCCCTGACGCGAACGCGGTTAATAAACGTGTGAAGCTACGCGATCGCGGAGCACTAATCGCGAACGCAATGAAGAAACTTGTCATCCTCCAGAATTACTCTACGCGAACGCGTAGAGGAGGATGCGAACGCGAAGAAGGAATTGGGACCTGCACAGCTGAAGGATTTTCTGCAACACTTGAAACTCCAAAATGCTCCGTTGAGCATCCGAAACACACCCGAGGGACCCAGGACCTCAACAAAACCTACGGACATGTCCCATAACATCATTCAAACTTGTACCAAACCTTAAACCACCTAAAACAACGCCGGAAATACGAATTAATCAAGGATTCAAGCCTAAGAACTTCAAATTCCAACAAAACACACTTTCGATCAAAAACTTAACCAAACCTCGCCCGAATAACCTGAAATTTTGCACACACATCCCAAATGACATGATGGAGCTACTGCAACTTCCGGAATTCCAATCCGACCCTCGGATCAAAAACTCACTATCGGACCGGAAACTTTAAAAATTCAAACTTCGGCATTTCAAGCCTAAATGAGCTACGAGCCTCCAAAATACACTCCGAACACGCTCCCAACCCCAAAATCACCTAACGGAGCTAACGGAACCATCGGATTTCCATTCTGAGGTCGTCTTCACACTGTTCCGATTACGGACCATCTTTCAACACTTAAGCTCTCATTTAGGGACTAAGTGTCCCAAAACACTCCGAATCCTAACACCGAACGTCCCGGCATACCAAAATAGCAGAAATGAACTTAGGGGAAGCGGTGAATGGGGAATCGGGGGGTAAATTCCAAAAACGACCGGCCGGGTCGTTACATTCCTAGAGGCCCAGTTTGGTGCCACGTGTCAAATGACGTGGCGCGCCAAGTCAAGCGAAAGAGCCAATAGGACCATGCCACGTGTCAAAATGACAAGGCATGCCCAGTCACACTGAAAGGCCAATGAAATCGCGCCACGTGTGCAAGTGACTGTTCTGGCCAATCAAATGTGACCATGTCACACTTCAACTTGATTGGTCGGAAAGAGTTTGTTCTTATCATGACTCCTCCCTTCCACAACTATAAATAGGGGTCTTCATAACTCAGAAACGACACCAAAAGTTATAACAAGAAGCAAAAGAGAGCTCGTGGATCAAACACCGCAAATTCCTCCACAAGTTTCAAGCTTCAAGCAATCAAGTTCAAGTTCAACAAATCAAGTTCAAGCTCAAGAACGAAGAACAAATCAAGTTCAAGCTCAAGAACGAAGAACAAATCAAGGTTTAAGGAGTGTGAGTTCAAATCAAAGTTCGTGCCAGTTGAATTCAAGATCATCGTTCGTGACAACAAACATAGATTAAAGATCAAGCTCAAAGGCCCTTGAATTTGTTTACAGTTGGAAAGAAGAATCAGAGGATTCATAGAGATTGTAACACTCAAATATTTGAAATAAAATACTACAATTGTTGCGATATTTTTCAGTCTTGATTTTATTTTCTCGACGCATTTTATTGTCCACAATTGGCTATAGATAACTAAAATTGCATTTACTTTCCTACTTTTAGAATTTGGTTTGATTCACTTCACCTTGAATCACTCTTATTTATAATTATGACTTTATTAATCTCGAAAATTTCATAAAACTCTTGAAAATTTCACAAAGAGATTAAGACTACATCAAATACAACAACAACAACGAGGTGATCAATAACAATTATTCCTCAAAATCAACTTAAAGTGATGTTGGACACTTCTTGACAATCAAATACTTCAAGAAGATTCACACAATATTTTGCTCGAGAGATATGCCACTTTAATTGGTTCTCAATTGGAGAAACAGGAGGGCAGACATCAAGAAGTTGTTCCTAGTAATCGATACGGAGTATTACCCGACTTTTTAAGAGATCAAGTATATTGCATGGAGGTCCACATCATCCTACATTCGAGAAACATGTTGCTCTAGTTGTCGAAGCAAGAAGAACAATACGGCGAGAAAAATCAAAAGATAAATAGAATTGTACTCATATTATTCATCAATAAAATCTTCCTTTTCTCTTAAGAAAACTTCTGCTTTATTAAATTTAATATTTTTGATTCTTCGAGTGTTCTTTTAGACATTTTCAACCTCAAGCCAACTAGATTACTAAACAATATTTAGAATTGAAAAGGCATCGTTTTAACCTTGAATATTTTTTAACACATAATAATCACTATGATATTAATGATTTAAATCTATTAATGGAATTAAAAGGTTAAGGAGAAATGGTGCAACTACAAAATTTAATCGCCATATATCATAGCAAGTGAACTCTTAATTTTATTTTTAAATATTTCTATTGCTTATAGAAACTTAATAGTTTCTGTAACAATTATTGCTTCAATTGGAAAAAAGGTTTTCTAAACTAAAATCAATAAGATCATACCCAAGATTACTGATGTATAATAAAGATTGCACTAATTGATTATATTGTCAAGTGAAAACAAGAAATTGATTATCAAAATACAATTAACTACCTTATATTTTAAGAAGCTTTACCAGTCTATATAAATAAGAGTTGGAGTGTACAAACACTGTATCTAGAGGTTGTACTATTAAGTTATGTGAAGTGTATCATAAACTTGGGTCTATTTTATTTGGCATTGATTTGGTGCTCTTTTCCTGTTTATACGTGTGCTTTATACTTTGTTACTATCAAAGAGGGAGTACTAATTTTGGTCTCACTGCACTTCCAGAGTTCAAAATTTACAGTTTTTTTTCTTCACTGTTAAGTGCTCTTCTGGTATGTTTTTTAATTTTTTCGCTTTAATTTTTTCTGGTTTCTTAAATTTTTGTGACTTTTACTTCTCTGCAATTCTGTTTCCCCGTTAATCAAGAACTCTATTTGGTGATTTGCTTTATTTTCTTTTTCGTATAGCATATGTGAATTTGGATATTTGATCCATACATATATGGTGTTCCCTCTTTTTTCAAATTTTATCGGAGGATCTTGTACATGTAGTTAGTTGTTAAAACTCTTATATGGAATGCCTTCGGGAACAAAATAGTAGTAATAAAAAGGGAAGAACTTTCATGCAGAAAAAGTATTTGACGAAAAGCCCGAATCAACAGAACAAATTCTTTTATTTTCGATAACGACGACAATAACAACAACAAATTAAATTCAATAAAATTTCACAAGTTAAATGGGTCTAGGAAGGGTAGAGTGTGCGCGGACCTTACCCCTACTTTATGAGGGTAGAGAGGTTGTTTCCGATAGATCCTTGATACAAGAAAAAATGAAAAAGAAGCAACGAACAACAAGTAGTAACAACTTCTTTTCGATAGCGACTGAATAATTTTTTCTTCAATCTTCTTTTAAGTGTATATAAGTGTTTACTACTTTGGGAACTAGATGAATGAATGCGGATATTAAGAAAAACAACATATCATATATAAGTCTGCCTATCAATTTCAAAGTTTTATTACTGCCAAGTGAATAATATTACTGAGTTATATCCAATGTATATGCATTTGTATTTACTTCGACACTGTGACAACAAAGCAATAGCAAGCACAAGTTCCAAAGGTTTGCTATACCGGAGAAGCAGGTATGGAGTTGTTTCCTATATTGTTCCCGTTTATGGTTAGTTTAGACTGGACTTAAACAATATAAAATACTATAGTACTTAGTAAAGAACATAGTGACTGAGTCGCATCTAACATGTTATTATATCAGGTTGCTTCCTTCCATGTTTTGGCTTCATCATAGTTAGCATTTTTTGGAGAGAGAGAGAGAGATAACTTCTCATTGGGTTGAATTGTGGGAATACTTGTAATGCATAAATAGAAAAACACTCAGCTGAAATGTAATTGAAACATCTAGGATCTCTAATCAAGGCACAACAGAGTTTTTATGCATCACATGATCTGTTTCTTAAGGAATGCAGGGATAAAACTTCTTGTGTTGTTTCATGTTCTTCTGTAGTTTGAGCAAGCCAGAAGAGAGCAAATGGCGAGGCAACAGAGCAGTGCCATGTTGAATAGGCAAGTGAAGAATGGATGGTTTAACGAGTAGCCTGTCTGTCAAAGTAGAGGCTTAAGGTCGGCATTTGGAGTTGGAGGTTTTGGGGAAGGCAACAGGTGCGGAAGGGTAGTCGCTGACTCGGGTCAAACAGAATGGGCTGGTCTGCCATTTGAGCAGCAAAATCAGTACCAACGCCAATCTGGGTCGGGTATGCGGGTTGGTCACATTGGTGGATCTGGTAACGGTGGCGTTGTGAAGAAGAGGGAGTGTGCTGGCACTGGCGCTTTTCTGCCTAGGAGATATTGTAGCCAGAATCCTACTGGTTCTCGCAAGAAACCAGGGTGTTCCACTGCTTGGCTTCCTGCTAGGGTTGTTGAGTCTTTGAATAAGAACATTGATGGCTTAAATGGCATTCCTTCTCAACCCCAGCACCAGCCTCAGCCTCATGCTCATCTTCAACCACCGCGGTTCAATGCTGGATCTGTTTCCGAATATGAAATATTAATGGCTAGGAGAAATGCATTGCTTGCACAGCATAGGAGAAATCTACAACAAGAAGGAACAATGAATCTTGAAGTACGCCTTCCTCAGGAATGGACGTACTGACGTTCTTTATTATTAGCTTTAATGGTTTATCAGGAAATGGTCTTTAGGTTAATATCCTTTTGGTTTTAGGAAGGATTGCAAGTAGAATAATAGATAGTCCAGTGATAGGATATCCAAAGTTAGTTTTGTGGAGAACAAAATGTCTGAATTACAAGGAAATGGTTCCTGGTAATCAGAAGGAAGGCAATAAGTGATGTTTAATTTTCTTTAAGCTTAGTCTATTAGAATATGAAGTGTTAATGACGATTATGTCCTTAGGCGTATTTTATTTTGGGTGCCTGATAAAGAAGATCAAGCACCACATAGGGGGTAGAACAGGGGAGTTTCCCTCCATTTTTGTTTGTATAATAAGTGGAATGCATCTTGTGTTTGGTGTGTGTGTGTGTGGGGGGTGG